AATATTTCTGGTGTTCCCGGTTTTCCTGGTTGCTATTATCTTATCTATTATTAATATTAAATTATCATCTTATCTTATTTTAAAAGAACACACCCACTCGCCCCCTCCCATATTCACAATAAATTTGGTCCTCCCTTTTCCCCTCCCTCCCCTCTGGTTTTTCCCCCTCCTTCCCTCGCAATCCCGCTTCCTGTGGCCCCCCTGGTCACAAGCCCAACATCTCACTGAAAGAAAACAAAGAAAAAGAATGAATTAACATTTGGTGAGAGAAATTGACATAAACAGAAGGGGGCTTAGGTAGCAATGACATCATGGCACGTATAAATTCAGCCGTTTTAGAGGGCTGTTAATTAACTAGGGCTTTTAAAGCGAATCCTCGTGCATTGGCTGTAACCAGAGTTGTTTACTGTTGCTTTTCAAAGTCATTTTTTATTTATGCTATGTTGAAATGAATGCTAGTTTAGCTCACCATTGGTCTGTAGTTTTGTTTCCAGTTCTGAAAGAGAATGAAATACAGTGTTATTGACCATAAGAATTAATGTTAGCTAATTGATTTGGCTACTGTATCACCGTTAATTAATTATCTTAGCTATTGTGATGAAAGTTATTGTTTACTACACGTGGTACAAAGACCCCTAAATCTTACCTTGATTTTTATTTAATAAGAGCTTGGATTTCTGCCGAAAAGAAATTAGTTGTGAAACATTAACAAGACTGCTGGATGAGGATTCATCTATGTCGGGATGAAAAACAGTTACTCTTCATTGATCTAAGTGGTCTGACATGTTTTATTTTTGTACAGCTTAATCCAAAAAGGTTGCATTGGTTGCAGTAGGCTTCAAATGATTCCAACACATGACTACCTCAGGTTTAGGAGTCTGAACTCTTGAATGGGATTGTGTCTCTTGTGAACGTCTGCGGAAGAGTAATATTGACTTCACGTTTCACCTCCATCACGTTTAGGCCCATTATTTTGCAACAGTCAACTACTTCACCTCCTTCGTACATGGTGTATAACAGAAGCTGACTCTCAACACGTTGAACTCCTAAAGCTCAACTCATCCTCTCTGTAATGAATGTTGCATTAGATTGACAGTCATTTAGAGCATATCACAGTTATTCCTTTTCAGCGTTCTCATAGCTCGATACCAAGACTGGAACAATCAGACTTTGATCTTGACTAAATCCTTGACCTCTAACTCCACAAACTATTGTGCACTTGTTAGATGGTGAATGTTTGCTTACACGAGGCACACACAATCTTTGTCTTGCGTTTATTTTCCTTTGCCATATGGGCATTTTCTGGGCATCTCAAACACAGACACCTCTTTGGCAAGAACAAGATTCTTACTTTGAGTGGGGTTTTCAAAAATTCTTGACAGGTATCGAGGCTATGCCTCCCTTTACATATCTGCACGGATCAGTGTCTTGACTGTTCTCCAACGCCAGTGGCTAATGCATTTCTTCTCTTTTTTCACGATAACTAAGGCTTCCTTTTTGGTGTCTGATGTCTTGAACATTGGCTTCAACACCAATGAGAACAGGTTGACACTGTAGTTTGACTATTTCAATGACAAATGCAGAGAAGGTAGGAAATTTATTGTCTCCATGCTTAGCTTGATTCTCAAGGACTTTAGTACCCTACTTGGAATGAGCCCAGCTCGGAAGAATTCTCACTAGTTTCTTGTCGTCGTTTTCCTTGTTTAATGGTCCATATCCTCAACTGACTGCTTTCCTAATTTGCAAGTTCTTAAGTAGTCAGCATGCTCCCTTAAAGCATTTCCATCCTTCAATGAAATCCTCGATCATTGTTTTAACTTGTCTCGAAAGGCCTGAGCAAAAACAGAAGGGTGTCCAAATCGTTTCTCTAAAACTTTGTGTTTCAGGCGCAGACACAAACTGATATTCTTCGACAACCTTTCTCGAAGCCCCAGACAAATAATCAAAATCAAACTTTGTTCACGGTGTCACTTCATCAAGAATTCTCTTCCAGTGTACCGTTTGCATAACAAATTTTAAGACAAACTACACTAATGCTAAAAATATATGTTCTAGAATTAATTGCACAAAAGTTATTCTACAGTATACATTATAATATATGACTAAAATAAGTTCTATCACGACTACCTCAAGGCAATCACTAGTTCAAGAAAAAGTCAGGGCAGACTTAAAAGAGTTGCACTCGTAAATTAGGTGTGCTTCCCTAGCACACCTTGTGCGTTCTCCAGCACATAAAGGTGTGTGGTGGTGACACACCTTTACACAAGAGTGTGTAAATAAACACAGGTGTGTAATTACAAGACACCCTGTGATCATTCTACAACTCACCCTAAATTGATGAGATGCAAATGTTCTCAAAATAGAGAAATCTAGCAGATCCACATAACACACCTTGAATGGCAACACATCTTCCCTATTTCAGGGCATCTTTGTTACCAGACAAAGCTAATCGATGACATCAATGAAATCAATGAGTAATTAATGAATAATCAGTTGATTGGTCATTGATTATTGCCAATGTTCAATGAATAATCAATAGGCCACAAAATTTTCAGTCATTGATGGCACTGTTTAGTCATGGTCGATATAATCTTGTAGCTACACAAACCATTCCAAATCGTGGAAAGAAAACAAAACAAAGAAAAACAACTTCTTCAAGGTATCTGTCACAGAGCAAACTTTACTTAGTCTATAACAATGACATCTAAAAATATCAACCTCGTGACTTCAGTAGTGTGCTGGTGCTTGTTGTTGAACCAGACCTTGACAGTTCTCCCATCAGTTTTTTCCTCTTGAAAAATTGTTCAAGTACTCTTTGCATACTTAATTTCGGTTTGAATTGTTGCAGCTTGTTGTTATTGTATTGAAAATAGAGCGAGATCTTTTGTAACCAACCTGTGACAACTGTTACAGCCCACTGAGTTACCTTTTTATTTTGCTTCGCCGGAGAATTATTTGTAACGCCGTTGAGTTCTTCTTCGTCCATGTTTGCAAATCTCCTCTTGTTGTCGGCTACCTCATTCTTTTGACTCCTGTTCTTTGCTTCGTTTTCTGGTGCTTGCAAGCCGAACGAGGAAATGATATCAAAATTTGGTAGCTCGTCGTCAGCCAT